GCACTCGAAAAAGATCGGACACTCAGCGCGGCTGCAAGTCTGCTGCAGGTCTGCGGTGGGAAAAGGTTTTGGGGTCTATCATGAGAACAACCATGGAACCAACGAACAGCAGCAGGGTGGATCATTGGAGTCGGTGTGTTCAAAGCAGGTACGTCAGTTCCGCGTCCGGAACTGATATCCTCACCATGTATTGCCAGCTTCGTTGATGGAGAAGCAATACAGGTGTCTCCATCCCCTGCTCTAAAACAAAACCAAAAGACGAAAGGGGAGGACCCTTAGAAACAGGGCTTCACACACACACACATATATATATATACACACACATACACATACACATGAAAACATTTTGTTCTACTGCTACTTAATGGCCGTCCTTGAGCCCCTCGTGCAGCTCTTTGACATCTTTGAGCCGCTTGGAAATGCTCCAAGCACCGTGGGTGCAGGTGGCCTCTGTGGGCTTCCCCTCCTTCGGACAGAAGGCCTTGGCCGGCATCCGCTCGGCGCTCTTCTTTGCCTCGCGGCCGCTGCGTTTCCACCTGGTGGTTGATGCCCTCGGCCAGCGTGACGTGCAGCGCGCGCTGGACAGCTTGGAACCCTGGTTGCGCGAGAAAGGCGTGGCGGTTGGAGATTGGATGAGCTGGAGGGGTGTTACCTCTCAATGGACAGGAGAGGTGCTCCCTCCACCGAGGTGGTTTTGGTTAATCCTTTCCTTCTTTGGATCTAATTAGGTAGAAGTCGAGTCATGTTGTTGTTTGTGTATATATATTTTTGAGGCATACGTGTTCTGTTTTTAGTGAGCCCGTGAACTGACAGCCATTTGCAGGCTCATTTCGCTTCTACCAGCAGGAGGGTCTCCAGGATGCATGGCGCGAGATCCATGCACTAGTGCCAGAGGATTGTTTGCAATTCTCTGGCCATTATGGTAGCGCAGGCTGATGGAATTGTCTATGCACCGACACCAAACAATGCTCATTCTTGTCCGACACAAACAGTGCGACGTACCACCAGGGTGGCTGCGGATGTTCCCGCACCTGGTGGTGCCTTCTTCAGAGGCCGACGATGCTTTAATTTGGGTGGATGCAGGACGGTGGCGTTAGTATTTGCAGAAGGGTGACGCCAGCTCAGCTGTGATGCTTCTTTTCCAACCTTCTCTATTGGACTCTATTGCTCAGCTGTGTCTGTCTCAGGAGACTTTGTGTTCTTAGCAGATCCTGCTGAGTTGGCGCAGCATGTGGAAAACTTCGATGAGGACTGCACCGCGGAAGTGTGGTACTCCCAGTCAGGTAGTGGACCAGAATCTCTCAACCTGAACGCCCCGAATGCAATCGTCAGAGGTGGTCAATCACCTTGGTAGCCCAGCTCCCCAGACCAATCTTTGCAAGCAGACACCCCGACCAATTGTGCGACCGCTTCGCAGGCTGTGACTCGGTATGAACGACCCGGTCTTTTTGAGTCACAGTGAGTCACGAGGATGACTTCATGGCAGTGGCCGATGATCAGGTCTTGGCTTTGCCAATGCAGGTCTTCTCCTTGAAGCGCTTGCGGAGCGCAAGGCGCTCGAGTTGGCGCAGCTGGGCAGAGCTCGTCACGGATGCTGTGCACAGAGGCCTGGAGGAAGTGGTTGATGGGTAGAATTGTAGAGTTCAGAGATGGCACCAACATTATATAAGGACAAACTGCAAGTCATGTTGGGTCTTTGGGGAGATGTTGGGATGGGCGCAGGGCCTGCCATCGTGCAGGCTACGCAGAGCAAGGGCGGAGCTTCTGCGGGCTGGGCGAAGGCCTTGGAATGGTGTGGCTGCTGCATCATGCGCAGAATCGCAGCTTGATCAGGTGATAGTGTGGACGGGCACTTGGTACCTAGGCATCACGGACAAGTTGGTTGCAGCGTGTTGCAGTTGAGAAGAAGAGGCTCAAAAGGCCATTCTGAATGGTGTTGGAGGAGAGTCCTGTGAGATGTTACGATTTGTTCTATATACACATGCGAGGATGGATCTATCATGAGATACCTCACCATTGGACCTACATGCCCTGGGCTGTGTGGAACTGGGAGCCTTTGGGCATCTTCTGACACCCTATGGCGCCTGCCGGCCGATCCTGTGTGGAGTGACTTGGAGTGCTGAAATCTCGTTTTTGGACCTTTTTCTTTCATAAGTCGCAACAAGGTTCCACAGCAGACGGCAACATAGTGGCAATGCCTAGGAATCAAATCCGTGAATTCCATGAAGGCAACTGCAGATGCCGAAGGAACCCCCAAGGAGGATTTCTTTTGTGGATGAATGGCTGGTGACCGGTGTGTGTGTGTGTGTTTGTTTCATGCCCCCGCAGCTCCGCCATGCTGGAGGTGACTCCGTCTTCCCTGGCCTGTCGGACTGTTGCGCAAGGGGGTTCTGCACGCCCAGAATTAAGTCACATTAAACTTTGAGAATTTTGCCTGCGAACGAGTTCTGCAGAATTGTCGGAAGTCTTCAATCCAATCACCTTGGCCAGCCTGCAGCACAGGACTTCACAACTTTGAGGGTGAAGTGCCCGAGCTATTTGGAAGACTTGGCTGGCTACATCCGTGTGGCTTTGGATGCAGATCCAGAGATGCTGAACTTGACTGGTAGCTTTGCAGACCCAAAGACGCTTGGCTGAGGGGCTTCGAGGGGCACGCGACATGTGGGAGTAATAGTTCGTTGTCATGCCACGGTCACGTTTCGGACAGTTTCGGTAGTATATGTGTGTATATGCACAGATACACTTAGATTGTTGCTCGCAAGAGCTAGGATCAGTATGAAGTCCCACTCTAGATGATCACATTACCCGCTGCATTGTAGACCTTGACTGGAAAAGAAGGTGCAAACCGAAGGGTGAAAAAGTCCGCGGAATTGGAGATGTTTGAGCAATGTTTGGCAACTCTTGGTATGCTAAGAAGCGGCTTAAAAATTGTCAGCAGGTACGTCGGAGTGATCAGCTCCGATATCCTCCCAACTCATGAGTAGCTTCGTTGGCAGTAGACTCATGAGTGGGCTACTGCCCCCTGCCTCTTTTTGCTCGCGCTGCGAACGTGTGGAAAAATTGACAAACTGCACGCTAACAGCGATACCAGGAGCCCTTAAGTAGCGAAGCCAGGGGCCCCTAGTAGCCTCCTTTGTGACTCAAGACCTTAGGCGCAGGTGTGGACGCACACACACGAAGCCGTACTTGGCGCGCTCTCCCCTGCTTGCAAACTAGTAGCGAGGCCAGGAGCCCCCAGTAGCGTCCTTACTCCCCGTAGAACGGCCAGAGGCCCCTAGTAGTACCGTCCTGGCTCCTAGTAGCGATGCCAGAAGCCCTTAGTAGCGTCGTTTGTGACTCAAAGCCTTAAGCACATGGATGGATACATACACAAACACAAGGCCGTAGTCGGTGCGCTCTTTGTACGCAACTGTTTTACTCATAGCTTTGTACACATAGCGCCAATATTGGCGCTGCGGAAAACTTCTAGCCACCTAAAAAGCCGTAGAAAGACAGACAAAGAAACCAAAACAAAAGCAGACTAAGAGGGCAAGAAAGAAAGATAGGTGTAGTGACGAGGCCCACTTAGTTAAACGAAAGTAGTTAGCGAGCGGGACTTTTGTCTTAAACCGCCCGGGTAGCTAGCAGTAGGACAGGAGAAACAGAAGGAAAGGCACCAACACACAAGTGTGTTGAGTGCGATTTCCTTGTAATGCAAGGGAATGTAATGTAATGTAATGTCACATAATGTATGTATATATTTTTATTTATGTATTTACTGTATAAACGTATAAAGACTGTATAGGAGAAAATAGAATGGGCCGAGGACATTGTTCACCACCGAACACCTATGATACATTTTTCCCCAAACAATTCACTGTTAGGGGTTCTCAATCCTTTCTTAAGATGTGTCCACCCTTTGTGTCACTGCTGGTGTCCGCCCTTTTCCGCTGGCCATGTAGCACTCCTATGCATGGTCTGTTGTCTTCCAAGTTCGGTGCCTGCACTGCTGGTGTCCGCCCTTTTCCGCTGGCCACGCAGCATTTCTACTCGTTTGTTTTGTTTTCCAGGTTCGGTGCCTGCACTGCTGGCATCCGCCCTTTTCCCTTCTCCAGCATTTCCATTCATTTGTCTCCCAGGTGATTTCTGTACTTACCCGAGCAGGTTTGTTAGGGGTTCTAAATGCTTTCTCTGAGTGTCCGCCTTGTTGCCGGACAGCGTGTCCGCCTTCCGTCCGGCTTGTCTCCCTTGGTCTCCCTTCTTGTTGGTCACTGTGTCCCCCTTCTTGTTGGTCACTGTGTCCGCCTTGTCTCCCTTCTGTTTCCTTTTGTCTTCCTTCTTGTCCCCCTTCTTGTTGGTCACGTCTCCATTCTTTCTTTGTCTCCGGTCTTGTTTCCCTTCCTGGGTCATTGTGTCCGTCTTGTCTCCCTTCTGTTTTCTTTTGTCTCCCTTCTTGTCTCCCTTCTTGTTGATCGTTGTGTCCGTCTTGTCTCCCTTCTGTTTTCTTTTGTCTCCTTTTTGTCTCCCTCTTGTTGGTCATTGTGTCCGCCTCGTCCCTTCTGTCTCCCTTTGTCTCCAGTCTTGTCTCTCTTCTGTTTCCTTTTGTCTCCCTTCTTGTTGCTCATTGTGTCCGCCTTGTCTCCCTTCTATCTCCCTTTGTCTCCCGTCTTGTCTCCCTTCTTGTTGGACACTGTGTCCGTCTTGTCTCCCTTCTGTTTCCTTTTGTCTCTCTTTGTTGGTCATTGTGTCCGCCTTGTCTTCCTTCTTTCCTTTACATGTGCCTCCTCTCCCCCCCCTCTCGCTTGCAACCCTTCACATTTGTCTTCCAGCTGCTCTGCCCTGCAACCCTTTACATTTGTCTCCCAGCTCTGGGCTGCGTGTCGCTTGCAATCCTTTACATTTGTCTCCCTGTGTCTACATTTGTCTCCCAGCTCTGGACTGCTGTGTCTGCCTCTGCCTTGCAATCCTTTACATTTGTCTCCCAGCTCTAGCTGCTGTGTCCGCCTCTGCCTTGCAATCCTTTACATTTGTCTCCCAGCGCTGGGCTGCTGTGTCCGCCTCTGCCTTGCAATCCTTAATTTTACATTTGTCTCCCAGCTTTGGACGTCGCAAGCTCTATTTGCAGAGTGTTCCGATTTTGAAAAAACACAAACTGTTTGGGGTCTACGGTGGTGTAATTATACTATATGAATCTGCCCCTGAACAAAAGAGCTTTCACTATCGAAACCTGCTTTGGGGGATTTACATAGATTTCCATGTATATACTAGAAACAATGTTCGCCACTAGTAACAAGTGCATCGCTTCTAGTAACCAGTGCCTTACTAGTAGTAACAAGAAGCTAGTAGAAACATTAAGAATACTAGTGTAGTGCTTTTGATTTCCTGACCCACGACGATCAAAGGCCAGCCGTCGACATTTTCCGCAAGCACTTCCGCCTAACCCGCGACGCACAGATCGTGGACGAATTTGCGCAGCGCAACTGGGCAGTGACAGCCTTTTGTTTTTCTGCATTTCGTTTGTTTCGTTAGGTCCTTCAAGTATGAACATGTTTGCGCTTGCTCAGCTCCTTTTCCTTTCCGTTTCCCCTTGTGGAAATCACAGCCATATAAAGCGTTGCGTTGCGGAGATCTGAGGAGTTGGTTGCGAAGACCGTATCAAGGCGGTTCACTTGCCGGTCATGTTCCACGAGGTCGTGCGGTCCGCGGAGTTGTGCGGTCAAAGGTGCCTATATTATATAAGAAGAAGCTAGTAGAAACAAGTGCATCGCTACTAGGAGCAAGTGCCTTACTACTAGTAGTAACAAAAGGCTATTAGAAACAAGTGCCACGCTAGTAGGAACAGGTGCCACGCTAGTAGGAACAAGTGCCTTACTAGTAGTAACAACTATACAGTTTGCAGTATACAATTAGGGTCGTGGAGCTTCAGTGACTCGGGGTCCTCCGTCCTGCAAGACGGAAGAGGAGGAAGTTGAACATGCTTTGAGAAGTGGCCTGGAAGTCTGCTAGATTTGGCTCTTCCCTGCCAATAACTGGACATGTGAAGAGGACTGGTGCTGCCCTAGGTCCTTAGGTCTGTGTACGACTGCATGTTTGCAAACTCCTACGCCTGATGCCCCATCTAAAGCTGATTTCCATCAGGTGCCTTGGGTGCACCGTGGCTTGCCTGAAGATTGCTGGCCTGAGCTGCACCCAACCATGCCTGAAGTGTTGTTCCGGTGGACTCCAAGAACATCAAGGAATCAAGGGCAGTGTTTTTTAATCTTCAGCATGGCCTCATGGTGTTGTGTGGCATTTGTGGAAGCAAATCACTGTCCCAGAAGGGCTGATGAAGGATGGATGTCCTTAAAAAAAGCCATCTGGGCTCCATCTGAGGCTTCTTGGACTTCTGGGCTGGCGCGGAGGTGGGGGTAGACCTTTTCATTCCGCTGGGCCGGACTTCTTTTTTGAATAACGTTTCATGGACCAGCCACGATTGGAGTTGCAATTATGGGTAGCTGATACTTTGTTCTGTTGTGCATGCTTCACATTTTCTTCACTCCATTTTCTGTTTCTCTGCAGCCTGGCTCACAGGCCTTGGGGCTTGCCTTAGAGCAGCCAAACACACAAGGCACAAACTCAAACTCCCTATGAATCCATCAATCTCTCTATATATATATAAATGAACCTAATTAATTCTATCTAAATTTTAATGCCTGGATAAACCCTATCTGAGCCCAAGACGTTTTCTTGCACCCTTCCCTCCCAGGTTTGGAGCGCGGGCTCCAGCCGCTTGAGAGAGCTCAGAACTGAGAGGGCTGAGATGCTGCTGAGTGTGATGAATCAAAACAGCGCGCTGAGTGTGATGAATCCCAGCTTCGAGTGCCCTCAGGATGACAACAGCCTGACCATCCACGGTGATCATGGTTTCTCATTCCCTGAGTTGCACCCGATGAATCACTACGTAACATAAGAGATGTCAGAGTGAGACTCCCGCATCTCGAATTCTCAGAATTCACGCTTGCCCATCTGTTCTTTTTTGGACATTGGAAGGGTGCTAGAGTGTCCCACGAATAAATCACAGCACTATCCTACTCTAGGCACACACACAGACGAGTTTGGTGGCCCGACACGTGCCTTCGCGCAGTTGGCAGACATGGGGTTGAGCCCAGGACCAAGGGGCCTCTCTGGATGGCTGCCAGTGGAGAAGGAAAAGCTGCAGTCGGGGAAGGGCAATTTGTGTATGGCTGGGCAAAGTGAGTCACGAAATATTGGTGGTGTATGGATCCGCATGTGACGATGTGACTAACTGTGCAGTGGAGAGGAGGATGATGTCTTTTGGTGCCTGGCAGCTCCTTTTATTTGGGCAGTTTGGGGGACTTGTCTTGGTTGGACACGCCCCCCTGCACTGCACTTTATCTCATTGGAAGTTCTACGCCAAAGACTTGGGAAAACATTGCGGTGCTACTTTTGGGTGGTAGGGTGGGGGGTGATGGTTCAAACGGAGTTTCTCCTAAATGCAGTACTTGTTGCAGTGTGTACTCATTTTTGGTGCTGAGGCGTATGCTGTTTTCTGCTTGCTGCCACAGGTTTGCAGACCTGCAAAGGCACTGTCATGGCTTCTGCAAGGATTTTAAGGCTCAAGTAAGCCATTTGGTTCATGGCATGTGGTCCAGGGCGTTTGCTTTTGGATGCTTGCTGCCCCCGCTATTGTGGATCTCACACCGGTGGCACAAGAGCCTGCCAGAGGATGAAGCAGAACTACGTAGCTTCTTGCGGACCGTAGAGGAGACACTCAGTCTTCTCCAATCCAGATTGAGTCGGACTATAAAAATGTGTGACTGAAGTGAATGTATTGAAGACAAGCCGCAGTCAAGTTGTAGATGTATTCACGTTTATTCTTTAGGAGACCGTGCAAACCACCACATAGGCTATGACTATGACAATCAGTGAAGCCATGCCGAGGAGCAGAATGAGGAGGCTGAGGACTTTTTGAGAGATGCCTGGGAAAGGCAATTTCGCAAAAAGCCTCCGGCCCCTGGCCGCGTGACAGTGGTTACAGCATCTCAGCACGGAGCTTTTGAGGAGGGGCGTGTTGTTTCTATTTATATTGGCTTGCCGGTTTCTGAAAGAATTGGTGCCACCGCATGTTGTCTCATGGTTGGGACATGAATTGCTAAGGTAGACACCAACAAGCCGCGACGGTTCATCATGCTGGGTGCTGGACGGCTGCCTGTAATCAATGCTGGATTTGGAGAGGATTGGTTTTCCTGGCGTGACAAGCCTCGACTGTGCCTAGGATGGTTTGTAGAGAATGCCAAAAGCCCAATGGACACAATATACGATGATATATATATATATATATACATGCACATTGATTATTATTGTGATGCGATGCTTTTGCCACAATCTGAGGTATCACAAGTTTCTCAACGCTTTTGCGGCCAAACATCCTGAACGGTTTGCTACTTGATTGCGACTCCAGTGGCGCACTTTGGTAATGATAAAGTAATATTGCCGGGCAACCATACCTTGCACCACCCAACTTTGAATGCGAGACGCCCATCGAATGCATGGATGGTGAATGACAATGGATGACAGGGGTGAAGCTTTGGTCCAGTTGGTTTCCCATGGTCCAGTTGGTTGCCCTTTGCTTGGGTGGGCAGTGTGAAAACACCCACCTGACCTGGCACCGGACGGCCGAAATCAGGTGGCCCTGGTGGATGGCTTTGACACGATCTTTGGTGGCTGCTCTGAGGAGGAGCCCCTGAGAACGGGAAATATAGGAATAGTCAAGTTTTTTCTTATTGTTCATAGACTTCACAGACATAGACACAGCCGCCGAATCCGATCATAACTAAAGTGGGGAACGCTCCGACCCCGACCATTCCTGATTCGGGAATGCTAAAAAGGGATGTGTAAAGTAGCACATTGGCGAAGTATGGTATTTTGGAAACTCAGGTATGCTCAGTCAAAAAGACTGAATAAGGCAGCAGTATGTCCAGCTGACCGGGACGACGGTGGATTTTTGTCACCAGCATCGTACTTCGCAGCCTCTCCTAGGCTTTTGAGCGCCTTCAACATGACTGTGTCCGCCAGTGATGCTTCTGTGGTTTGGGGTGCGGAGAACTGTTGCTTCCCTTGGCGGGACAGTTGCCTGGGGCATCAGAGCTATGATAAAATCAGCTTTTTCTTTCAAAGAACATCATTGGTTTCGGGATGTTCAACACTGGTGCAGTTGAGGGGTATTTGCCACACTTTTTGACCGCGAAAGAGCATGTGATTCCATGTTTTTGTCCTGAAAAGTGTTCAAAAAGGACACCCGCATTTTCAGCATCACCATGGTGCCAAACCAAGTGGTGCTCAGTGCAAGCCATCAGCGCACATGTTTGCATGTAAATCCAGCCGGTGATTGGTGCCTTTTGAAGAATGATAGAACGACTGCACACTGCAAATCGTAAACATCTCTAAACCCAGCAAACCTGTAAACCCGCGTAAACCCGCGTAAACCCGTAAACCCGCGTAAGCCCGCGTAAACCCGTGTAAACCCGCGTCACCAAATTCAGACACATTTCCCGCTGCACTGTATAATTCCCAACAGCAGAATGTAGTTGGGATTTAATCCCTGGGACTGGGAGTGGTGCGCAGTTTGTCCACGGCGCTGCGAAGCAGTCGTTGCGCGAAACATGTTGCACGCGCATCAAGGACGTAGTTGCGCGTGCCTAGCAGGACGTTTCTGGGATCACAACTGGCACTGGTGGTGTGCCATGTGTTTCTGTTGCGAGGCATTCCGTCGACGCTGCACAACACATGTTTTATGCGCAGCAAGGCCACGGCAGTTGCACATACGTAGCAGGACGTGTTTGCGCTGTTGAACTTATGGTATGCTTCCTGTCTCCGTTGCGACTAGGCTGTGCTCATGAAGGAAGTAAGGAGCCGGGTTCCCTAACCCCATGCTACTTCCGGTCACAAGCACGGCGGGTGTTTGTGTCTACCCAAAAACAAGATTTGGCGCGAGGAACCACGTTTTTGCAGTTTTGATGCGCTTTCCTTCTTCCTGCTCCCTCTTCAGCTCCTGGACCCCAGTTCCTGCTCCCGTTCCTCCCCAGCTCCCTTTGCACGTCACAAATTGGATTCCGCTTGGGAGCTTTAGCAAGACATAGTTGGAATGCCTGAAAAGTCCCAGTCCATTGAGTTGCCATGTGCTGTTGGGTTGCAAAGCTGGGTTAGTCAGATAATTTATATTGAGAATGAAGTCCAATTTTAAAACCTCCACGCGAAGCATCCCTCAGGTCCAAGACACTGGCGCCGCAACGTTGGTCTGTCCTCAAGCAGTTTGGGCTGAAAGAGGGGTACGCACCTCGGCCGGGACTAGCGACCACGACTGCACTCCAAACCTGGCCACCCGGCCATGACTTTGCCTTGTGTCAAAATGACTGGGTCCGCATCCTCCTTCCTGGACATCCCAGGAGGGGCTCGGAGACTGCCGTCGGTGCCGTGATTTGGACATCCCAGGCAGAGACCTGGGGTTTGTTCTGCTCAGCTGAAACTGCCCCACGCCTTTGGTATGAGGGGCGGTCAATGGACACCCCAAGGTCAGGTAGAGTCTAGCTGAGCTTTGATCTAGAGTCTAGAGGATCAGGACCCTCGTTACATTTGATGTGACCTTCATTTGCTCCTTGCGGCCGCCTTGCGGCTTGTGTGCCCTTGAGAGGCTATGATTCGTTTTGCTCCGCTCCCCCCGGCCTATGAGCACCTCAACAGTGGATTCCTGATGGGCTTGGCCAAGGACGTGTGCCCTGGATAAAAGACAACACGGTTCCTTTTGTGCCACAAGAAACGGTTCTTCTTGTGTTCCGACTCGTTGGGGCCACAGCCCCTAGTAGCGTCCTTGCTCCTAGTCCTAGTCAATGTCCGTGCTCCTTGTTGCACTTCAAGGTCACACGTAGTGGAACAATGGCTGAAGCTTTACTGGAACAACTCTGAGACGGACCAGTTGGTTGCACGCAACTAGATATGAATGGTGCCCGTTTCATTGATAGAAGAGACTTGTTATTGCTAGGACTTGGCACCTGCATGCCACAGGATCGCAGTTTTACTTGGGAGGTTTGAGCTAGTGCAGCCTTTGTGAAGGATGTCACAGGGCACTTGAGCGAAATCTGAGCGAGCACAATTGCCTGAGGAACTACTTTTCTGCAGACACAGCAGGTGACCAAGATGACCTTAGACTACTCTGGGTCACTAGTTCTGACGGTGGGAAACATCCCAGAGACAGCCATAGCGGAAGTCTTCAGCATTCAAGAGATCCTCAGCTTTGTTGGCTTTGTTTTCTTCATGATCTCTGCACTTCTATTTTTTTCGGGGGAGACTGTAGGTGAAGAGGCTGCATCTTGATCTTGGCTGTTAAAGGTTGAATGGTCCAGACAGGTTCTGTGGAACCGTCAGCTATCGCTGAGGAACGTCATCCGGAACCATCGCACCGGCGCGGTGCAATGCTTCATTCACGGAGCAGGGCCTGGCAAAGTCTTCCTCGCCCACTTGCTACAGCAGCTAGCTACAAGTCAAAGAGACCGCCTGGGCGCCCTGCTGCCGGAGGGTTCTATTGTTCTTTGGGAGCATCTTCGGGGATTTGGTGTGAGATGATGTGTTTTGGGTCAGAGAATGTGCGAGGTTGGAGAAACAGACAGATATTTAGATGGATTGGCAGCCGAACCTCTTTCTTATTCCCCTATACGATAGGTCGATCTTCAAAAGTGTCAGTCTTTATGTTGCTTGTCAACTTGTCTTTATTTTCTTGTGCGTGTGTGCGGCACATGTATGCACATGTGCATTGTTTCAACTTATTTATTGTGTTATATAAAGGATGCTGTCAGTGACATGGCTGGCGTGAAGTTCATAACCAATAGGATTGGTTATTTCCCCAACTTCCTGAACTGTTAATTGTGTTGTTGTTTCTTGATGCCATTATGATTCGTTATGCGTGTTTTGATCCACAAACTTCATCCTTCAACAAGTGGCAAACTACACCAAATGCTATGACATCAACACCTGAAAGATCAACTCCAGCTAGACCAACCTATACACAAAGCTACTTATATATATATATACTTCGAGTGAACCCCACCCCAAAAGGTGATTTAGTAGAAGGCTGCCTCATTCATATCTTTACACTTTGTTCATCATAAAGTGGTCAACCAATTTTGAGTTTTCGTGTGTATTTTGCGCTTTCAGCTTCATTCTGACTTTAATATGTAGTGTAGTATTCTTGCCTTCGATCACATTTGTTGGGTTCATATTCATTGTAGTTAGTTTAATTTCCGCAGTGCTTGTGATAGGGTGTTATGTTGTGTGACATGCTGATGAGGCCAAAGCAAGGGAAGGCAAAATCAACAGATGATAGCTGCGAACCATACATTAGAAATGTACACTTGCCACGCAGAAAGTTGCTGGTGATACACACGTAGACTAGACCCCCCCAAAGAACACCAAAAGAATTGAGCACACACCACAGATTTGGGAACCAGTCCAGCGTGAAGAACAGTTGGGGAAAGATCGTATCAAATTCTTGTTCTTTTCTTTTTTCCGCGGAGTTGTGTCTTTTAGTTGTTTGTTGTTCCTTTTCCTTTTTTTTTGCTTTGTGTATGTTTGTTTTTCAAGCTGAGATGCACCATCCTTGACCTTCACTCTGGACCAAACACTGACTTTTTTCGACCTTCCAAATCACGCACAGAGTTTGGGTTGGAACTTCAGATCCAGTGAAGACTGTTTGTTAGCATCATGGTGCACCAGGTCCACTCGGCAAAGTTTGGAATGCAAAGCACCGACCCAAGCAATCCAGCTGACTAGTCTCACAGGCAATCCAGCATTACTCCAGCATGAGACAAGACATGGGTGACGCCAGAGCTATATCGAATACGCAGGGACACTGATGCATCACATGTGCCATTGAACCATAGACACCTTGATGGCTGATGGCCTTAGATGGAGCACGAGATGCTGGCTCGATTGGACGCGTGCTGAGACCTCTGGGTCTGGGTACTGCTGTGGCTTTCACAGTCTTGGCGATTTCAGGGATGCCGGAATTATTTGGAGAAAGTCCTTTGCAAACTAGGGAGGAGGTCATTCCTATAATAAGGTTGGAGGCCATCGCTATTCGGTTGGAGGCCATCGCTTTGGGGAAAGGTTTCGCAGCTGCGGCGACACACTAGAACCTCAAGATCCGCCTGTCTTCACCATCGTTTTGCGCCTGCAGTTCTTGCCAGGCAAGCGTGAGCTTGAACTCTCCATCAAGGACTTGCTGTGGGTTTTCAACCTAGATCCGGCGAACATCAATCAAAACGTGACCAGCTTGGTGTGCAGTTTCTTGAGCAACAGCCCCTCGAGCTGTTTAGGCTGAGATGCAAGAGCTCCAAAATCAAACCAGCCACATCGGCACAACCATCGCATGAACCATATTGCTCTCCACTGTTCTTTGTCACACCCTGCATGCTTTGCAGCATGTGCACGCGGTTATATGTCGTTTGGGTCCCTCTTGAGCTGTTTCTGTCCACTGCTCTTTGCCTCAGCAATTGGTTTTGTTGTGGTGTGAGTCTTTGCTGCTTTCCCACCTGCTTTTGCTTTAGGCTGTGCTTTCGGCTCTGGGCTTGCCAACCTGGGCTGAGCAGCCAATCAAAACTCAACAGAAGGTTTGGTGCGAGATTGGACGAGCGTGTGCAATCAAGCATTAGGCACAGAGGAAAAGAAAGCTCCGGAGAAGTGTAGTATAGGACACTGAGAACAGAACTTGGTATGGAAGGACGCTGACCAAGAGCTGTGTATGAGGAGATCATTTGACTTCAGAGACCTCTTCAGAGCCTCTTCTCATCATTTCTAGGGGCGTAGGGCGGACTGGTCTCCAATGATGAGGTCTCCTGGCAACAGGATTCCAATACCGTCATAGAATCATAGAGTAGGCACAGAATCTGCAAAAAAAGAATCAACCAACCTCTGTTTATGATTCATATCCAGTTCCAATTGTCGAGGGTCTCCGCGTCTCATGGCCCTACCTCCTTCAAATGGTCTGAGTGTGCTTCGGCAAAGGCGCACTGCTGGCAATATATACTTCATCATGCCTTGGTGGAAATGCGTTCTGTGGAGCATAGCAAAAGTTTGGGAACAGACTGCTTGGCAAAGTAGATGCTGCTTGGCTAAAATTGTCGCTTGGCCATGCAAAGCAGTTGCCAACACCTTCAGCAACCGAGCTCCCGGAAGAGCGTTCAGAGGAACCATCGCCATAGCTCTTATCACTACTGAATACCCAGAGCTACAGTGGGAGCTGGCGATGGTTTTTATGAGTTTCTTGAGTTCCACGGAGACACTTTCTTCCAAACCTTGCAGGAGTGCTCTGCGTCGCTGGAGTTGGGGAGTAGTGTGGCTTGGCACACAAAGCATCTGAGAACGAAAGCAGGACATTCTTGTAAGGTGATGTCCACGGTCTAGGACCCTTTAAAGGCACTCCTTCCCTGTAGAACTCCAACTTCTTGGGAGACATTCTCTAAGGAGAGCAGGGGCATCCGAAACTGCGGAACCAGCTCTGGCAGCTGAGGCATCTGTGCTGCGGAAGCGAGCAGAGAAGTATCGAAAGCTAGGACAGTATGAGAAGGCACGACCACTGCGCGTCGGGATCCTCCCCTCAGCCGAATCATGAAGTAGCAGTGGCCGACCTGTGGCCGGGGGCTTTCCAGTGCCAGACATGAAACACAGAAATGCAGAAGCTGTATATATATATATATATATCACGAAAGCCAGCCGATAGGCAAGGATTGAGTTTTTAGGGTGAACGAAGTGAATAAAGGGGGTGTGGGGGGGGTGGTCGTGCAGAGGCCACTTTTGGGAGGTCGAACCTTGAGCCTGGTGGGGGAGAGCGTTCAAAAGCAGGGTCAGGAAGGCATCGAACAAGTGGTTTGGATGCAAGAGATGTAAATGACGCCGAGTAGTGCACCATTAGCATCATGAAGGGGTCTAAAGACAATTTTTCTAGCCCTGAGCAGGGCATAGGGACTGTGTAGCTCTGATCATACCAAGAAGGACCAAGCAACAAAGAGTGAACGCTCCGGGAGCGAACGATGTGAGTATGTCCAGTTGGGCGAGGGTGAACTCAAGCCGGGACACGCGGAAGCGTTCAACACGATGCCCAAAACATTTACCACAGCAACAGAAAGGATGTCCTTCGGGCATTCATTATGTATCTCTACACGGAGTCTGATTGTTTTGCTTAGATCAGGGGCATGCACAGATCAGGGGCATTTCTGGACAAGCTTTAGCAGGCTGCAGCTCTAAGGTTTCATAGCGAGCAAGCAAGGGGCGTTTAGCAGCAACTCTCTGTGGCCACGTGTGAAAGACTGAAACACGACTCAACACTTCATGCTGTGCTCCGATCTTGATCTGCTCCACGCTGATACAAGCTCCACGAAAGCTACAGGCATTCAACAACAAGTGCTCCGCTATTTTTTCCCCCCGGTCTTGCGCTACCATATTGGTCTCTCGCTGGCTTTCGTCCTCTCCTTTCTCAGGTATATATAATAAGCGTCTTGGTCTATTCACCGGCGTCACATGTTCAAGTGACCCGCACAGTTCAGTTGATTTGTGGCCTCTCCATCCTTATGGTCAGGCCATCCAAGACTTCACTGGCTCGTTGAAGCTGGAGGACAATGCCCGGTGTCCCAGGAACATGGGGGGTAAAGCTGGAAGATGGTGGGCCGATTGCTAATTGGAAGTCTTCAGAGGACTTTTGTCAGACGCAAGTGAAGGCTCTGGCATTGGCGGGCCGCGGGGCGGCTTTCCGGAGCTTGGGCCGCTTGCCGGAGGTGGGGATGCGATGAAAGGAGGAATCGCCCACCCGCAGCGACGGCGTGGCTCCAGGCCATTGGCGACTTCAATATGGCGGCCCACCTGGAGCCCGACAACATCCAGGCGGTTCCAGAGAAAGATGAACAGCTTCCAAAAGCCTCATGTGATGTGTGCAGAAGTCACCTTGACTCAAAGAAGGAAAGCACCCGATCTTGGAAACCATCCTATGTAATGTATATATAATTTCGGTCCAGCTTTCAACACCGTCACAGTCAGGGCAATTTCCAAGAGACTGCGGAGTCTCAGAACCTTCACTTCAATGGAAAACCTGTCATCAAGAGAGACCCATGTGATTACAGCGTCTTTCTTGTGAGAGTTGGTCTTCCTAAATGGAGTTCCCCTTCTCTGCCAGGTGTACATGGGCAGAGCTCAGGTCTTGCGCGAACAAGGCCAAGTCATGCAGGCCTCTGCCACTTCAGAAAGCAACATGTACTAACGGTAATGCTGGGCGCTATACAATTGTTAGTGCTAATATCAGAGATGCCTCACACGAGCTTCCATGTGTCAAGAAAACGGACAATACATGAAGGAATGATGGTGATGACAAAGTCCGACAGCCCGCTGACGCGCAGATTGGCTCAAAGTGCGGACCCATATCTCTGTCATTCTCTGTCAAGACAGGTGACCCCTTCATGCTGTGGACGGCTACGGCTTAGCATACACCTCACGTAGACACGAGTCCGCCGACAGAGATCCTGGAGTCCGCTGCCCCGTTCACGTGAAAACCGAGCCATGCTCTTCGCTCTGGCTGGGCCTGGAGATGAGGAGGAGCGACCACGCAGGGTTCTCCGTGGGAGAGGACCAACATGGACAAACATGTGCCTCTGAAAGGCAATTGAGTGTTTGTGGGGCCTTGCCCATGAAGTGTAGAAGGACGTCAGTGGAATTGCAACTTTTCTGTTTTGTTTTCAGGAGCCCCAAGAGACCCTTGCGCACCGCTTTTGCGCATTTGCCACTTGCAGCAAGCAGTGCTCGAAGGAAGCCGAGTGCTTTTGGTACCTTGACAGTGCCCCAAGGCAATTGTGGGCCAGGAGAAATAATCACATACGGGCTGAACTGCAAGGGTACGTTTGTTCTTTTGGGCTGTCAGGCCACCCCCCTTTCCTTAGCCGGTGAAATTGTGTCACAGTGTCACCCCACCTTAGAGAATGTCAATTGAAAGAGTGCCGCGGGGAAAGTGTAAATCTTCAAAGCACCAGCCAGCCAAGGCCCATCCAAACATATATAAATGATGGAGCTTTTCTGAAGCTTTTCTTTGCTGTTCAACAAGATGCCTATTTCTAGCAGGTTCAGGGTGAAGAGCTTCTCCAGAGCCCAGGCCATGAAGACGCTGAACGAGGATATGGATCCACTCTTCCAAAAGCTGCTTCGCGACATCTAGCGACACAGATAAGAGCGTAGCTTCTTGTTCCTACTAGTAAGGCACTTGTTACTAGTAGCAATGCACTTGTTTCTACTAGCTTCTTGTTACTACTAGTAAGGCACATGGTATACGGTATGAGGTTTACTTCTCCTTGTTTCTTGCGCTGAGGTTCCTCCCGATCTTCGACCAGGACCACCGAGAACTGCTACATCAGGGCGAGACCCATGAGCAGCCAGTGGGCTCAGTCACAACACAAGACCCGACTTCAGACAACCCAGGACATATATCATATACCTCCGTACTACTCGGAGCAAGGATGCTACTAGGGGCTCCTGGCCATACTACTAGGAGCAAACAGCTATTAGCACTTCTGCCAAGCCACCGGCAACTTTCATCATAGGTGTTCTGCTTCCTTTGTTGGAGTGAGGATCCCACAGGGCCACAGGGAGCAAGACTCCAGACACCCAGCTAGGGGCTTCTTGCCGGTGGCCTCAATGTTGTGATGCCCAAAAAGCGAATCACATGTGTCTTTGTTTGGTAGCGGTTTTTGTTCCCTATGGCTGCAGCTGGATGCTGTGCTCGCTTGGTTGGTGTTTGAAGCTCACAGCCTGGATAGAGGTTTTGGAATGGGATTGAGAACGGATGGTGTGCCTCGGCGGGGGGTTCTGAACTTCTTGCTGAGGTATGCTGCGTACCGGGAGTACGTGGGGAATCTCGAGCAGCATGTCTCCGACTTTGCGCTGCAGGAAGGTTCTCTCGGCGGTGCATTTTTTGGTTCCCTTGCTTTTGAGTGGGTTTCTTCTCGCCTGTCTGAATGCTGGTGACCCTGTCTGGACGATCTGAGGTTCAATCCAGGCGATGGCAGAGCTCCAGAATGCCATCCAGGAGGATAAGGAGAGGAAATGAGAGAAAGGGTTTCGTCACAGCTGTGACTGTCCTCCTCCATTGGCTCATCTTGGGCTTTGCATTTAGGGGCTTGATATGGGGAATTCGCCTGGAAACCTGAGAGTCTCAACCCAAAGGCACGTCGCCAAGCAAGGCAATTCAAGCAGACAAGAACATCAAAAAACCCAAATAGGCAAGCTATGCCAAAGAGTCTCTTTCGGAGCTTGTGTGCTCTTGGCAGGCCAGAGCAGAGAAGCAAGTGGAGGCCAGGACTTAGTCAGAGAGGTTTCAGCACCAGGTTCGGCCTTAGCCAAGAAGTGATCAAATGCAACCTTTGTCGGCAGCCGCTTGCTCGTAGATCTTGATAGATCTACATACGCGGCCGTCAATGCCAATTCCCCATGAATCAACGGTTTGCATGAGGCCTTCCTGATGCACATGGAACAGCAGCGGAAGATGAAGCTGGGACCGGAGGCTCCTCCATTAGAAGAAGGTGCCGTGTTTTTGCTTTTGATCCGTCTACGATTCTGGTTTTGTCATGCCAAGCTGCGTTGCTTCGCTGATTTTGTCCAGGTGAGAAAGAACTCATGAAGGCCCTCTTCAAGCCTCAGACTGTGGATGACATGATGCAGAGCCCTAGCTTGACCAAGGCTTTTAACCCACAGACGGTGACTGCTTAGCTGAGTCGGAACTTCGTTTCCAGAAGCCTTCCTGTATTTTTAACATTTGCCGCGGCAACCGAAGCCACGCGGCTTGGTCCTCGGTTTGCCAAGGATGTTGTTGCACATGACAGAATATACAGCATTCAGCAGCCTGATGTACCTTGGTGCAAAGAAAAGGACATGAAAGGGTACACTTCACAACTGCTAGTGTTGCAGCAACACTGTGCGGCGGTCATTGCATCGTTAGTTTGCTCTCCTTTTTCATTTCTTTTCGAGGGCTTATTGGATGACACTTCACCAGTTGCTAAGGCGAGCAAAGGTGCAGCAGCAGAAGTTCATGAGGGAGTTGGAGCGGAGGAAGAAGGACAATGACGGTTTTTGGTGGATGGAATGCTGTACATGTACAGTGTAGCTCCTAGAAACGCCTTTCAGCTGTCTTACTTCTTTTGCCCGTCTAAGCCTTAGACTAAAGTTTCGATCCCCATGCAGGTCTTGTAGGTCCTGTCAATCCTTGCAACATGATCATATAATTCAATATGACAGAATGGCGCGAAGTTCGTGGCTCAAGAGTAGCAGTTGGTGGTGAACTCTTTATGGGCGATTTGCCGGACAGTCCAGAAAAGATGGGTGCCCTGGCTCGACACTCTGGGTGACTTGCAGGGCGATGTTGACCTCTTTGGTGCCTGTGCAGAGCAGCGGGTTTAAGCCAGGTGTGCAGTATTCCGTTGTGTGAAAGGCCTTGCAAAAGTGACATGAAGATAGAGTTGACTCTTGTGCTAGCCAACCCAGAAGGAGGTCAGAAAGAAAGTAGGAGCGGCATCCTGCAATTCTTTAGTTATATACGCTTGCTGAACAAGGGAAACTGAACCACCATGCAAACAAGCAGTATGTCAGTGAGCAATCAACAGCCAAACCGTTTTTTGTGGCTATGTTTCCACCGTACCAGGTTGGGACGTCGTTGGCTTCGAGGGGTGTGAGCCGATGGATGTGAAACCCAACTCCGAACAGCCAGCGGACCTGCTGCGGTGGCTGAACACGCGGAGGAGGTGCAGCCTGGAGCTGGTGAACGGGTCCACACTGCAAGGCCGGACGACCATGGCACGGGCGGCATGGGCGGGATGGGCTCGCGAAGGGAAAGTTTCAACCCATCCATTCATGAGTTGATGAGTTGGAGCAAGGACGCTACTAGGGGCTCCTGGCCCTACTACTAGGAGCAAGGAAAGCTACTAGGGTTTGATTTGGACCCTGCATTCCTAAATAAAAACAAATATAGCGTTCCTGACCACTTCGTGCACAGTAACTTGCGCCGGCGCCGATACGCTTGGCAGGCTTCTCCTTTGGTGCTACCACCTCTGTGTCTGGAGAGGTGGTGTTCAACACCGGGATGGTGGCATACCCTGAGTCCTTGACAGACCCTTCGTATGCAGGGCAGATCCTGGTGATCACCTATCCACTCATCGGAAACTATGGTGTGCCTTCTGATGAGAAGGATGACTTGAACCTGCCCAGATGGTTTGAAAGTCACAAGCACCTTGGTTCATGAACCGCTGAAGATGGCTTTGGGTCATTAGTCAGAGTGTAAGCAACAGGCTGTAGCTACCAGCAGCCATAATAGTTGGAACGGAGCCGAGGATCCATTTGAAGGGGGTCGTGATCTCTGACTACTCGTACGAGCCATCCCACTACAGCTGCATTCGGACCTTGGGGGAATGGTTGGCATCTCAGGGCGTTCCTGGTATCTATGGAGTGGATACAAGGACAGCGCCGCGGAAGAACCTTCGGACCGGCATAACTCACCAGATTGTGTGAGTTCTCTTTTGTTCTGCACTACACGCTTGGCAGAAGCTTGCCTAACCTCCGTAAGATGTAGAGTTCCTGATGCAGAAACGGATGTAGGCACATGAAAAAGCACAAATAACTAAATATAAAATACATGTATACAAAAAGGATCCATTTGCATGGAAGAGTGGCCAACGAACAAAAAAAGGCATCAGTCGATCTATCTGGGCCATGCTGATGCTCGCTCACTCGCTCGTCGCCTCTTGTTTCTTGGTCTCCAGGGCCGTCACCAAGCTGATCCGCATGAGCGGTTCGATGCTTGGAAAAATGGTGGTGCAGGGGAGCAAACCCTCAGCCGAGCTGGCCATGGATGACCCCAACACCCGAAATTTGGCAGCAGAGGCGGATGACTTGCCGGGGGGGTTGGGAGGGACTACTTGGCATCATGTCACCGTAGAGTCGAGGAGTGGAATCTTGGGCGGCTTCGAGGAGTGCGTCCTTCATACAACCTCTCTCCGCCCTAATTGAACATCTCTCTCCTCGCCTCCGCCCTAATCAGCTGCTCGCAGGTCTCGAGGAAGGCACCAGAAGTCTTTACCCCGGCTCAGCCCAACGAGCGCCTCAAGAGACCTGTCCATGTTTTGGCGGTGGATTGCGGCATCAAGAACAACATCATCAGGTGTGGTCATTAAGCACGATCAGGTTGGGGAAGGTGGTTGATGGGGAGATGCTCACGACTCATCACAATTCCACCCTTCAGTGTTGTTAAGTATTTAGCTTCAGCAGTTCTTTTTTGGGCGGGCAAGTTTGGCAGGCTTACAGATTCGAGTTTATGCATGCTGCACACTGCACACCTTTGTGATTCTTTGTGCTAGGTATAGTTTCACAGTGTTTTCATGGCCGGGAGGTTGCTTGAGGTTGATTGACCACCCCACCTCTTGCACGGTTCGCCCTCCAAACGACACTGGCACTAGGTGTTAGTCGTTCGGCTTGGGATTGGGGAGTCGTCGTTGTTTCCTGGCTCTATGTTGGCACCCAAACCAAAGAAGCCTTGACACGCACGCCAATCAATGCTGCTCCATTTTGTGGTTCTGACACCAAGATCCTGCAATGGTATTGCCTCTCCAAGGTACTATCGCACATTCACCATCTCATCATCTCATCCGTTCAAGCTGGTGTCTTTCTGCTTCTTTTCGTGGAATTTGTCCTGTTGGGCGCAGGAGATGCCCAAAAATGCCTGCATGACTCATGACTGACAAGTTGCGCAGGTACCTGGTGAACAAGCTGGGGCTTCGTGTCACTGTGGTGCCTTGGGATTACGACTTCACGCAGGAGGACTTCGACGGATTGTTCCTGAGCAACGGACCTGGAGACCCGACCCAGTGTGCCAAGACGGTCGAGAATGTCAGGCGAGATGATCGAAAGGTCGGGAATGCACGGGCAGATGCTGCACTCTTCATGTCTTTGAACTCACGAAGACGAAGGTGTTTCTTCTTTTCTTTTTTGACTTTATTTTTTTTCACGATGCCGGCCGGAATGCAGGTTGAGGCCCCAACAACTGAACAGCCAAAAACATTGACACCGCCAGGTACATCATGAAGAACCGGCCCTCCACGCCAATCTTTGGCATTTGCCTGGGCAATCAGATTTTGGCCCTGGCCGCTGGAGCTAAGACCTACAAGATGAAGTTTGGCAACCGAGGGATGAACCAACCCGTGGTGGACCTTCGCACCCAGCGCTGCTACATCACCTCGCAGAATCACGGCTTCGCGGTGGACCAGCGGACCTTACCTGAGAGCTGGGTGCCTTTGATGGTCAATGCCAATGATGGCACCAATGAAGGGATCATTCATTCCTCCAAGCCTTGGTTCTCTGTGCAGTTCCATCCGGAGGCCTCCGCCTGCGGCACCAGCATGACAAGCTAATAGCTAGCATAGTGAGCATTTGGCAGACCCTTTTGTCACTGACCATCATGCACACATTGAGCATCAATGGGCCAAGAGTTTTGATTGACACGTGGGCCACAGGTTTCCCGTGCGTGCGCTTGCATGCGCAGGCTTGTGGCGGCCCGACGGACACCGACTTTCTCTTCAACTACTTCCTTCAATTCATCGCAGAGCCCACAGCCTCCCCAGTGACCACAATGCCCTACTCCATCCCGACAGCTTACAGAAAGGCGGGCCGAGCGGTACAGTGGTCAGAAAGGGAGGTTGATGTGATCTTTGGAAGGTGCTCCAATCAGGTTTCTTCACCAAGATCAAGCAGGTAGGTGCTCCTGTCAACTAGTGATGACCGCATTCTAAAGCGGACCTGGCAAAGGACATTTGCTCTCAAGTCAGATTGGAGCCACTGAAGCCCTTGTGCATCAAGTGGTGTCAAGTTGACCTGAGACAAGGGAGACAATACGGTATACATACTTGTACATACTTCAATACGAGATGCCTCAGTTGTCCCATCGAGCTTTGCTGGGATCCAGTGAGCCGGGCCATTTTATGTCCATTCCACGGACGAGCCTGTTGAAGAGGGGTACCGAGTTCAAAAAATTCACGCCTGCAGCCACAGATCTGATTTGACCTGTTCTGACCTGTTCTGATCAGAGAATTAGGCTCCCAAGATTTCCCAAGTAAGCAGGTAATTCCATGGACCCGTCGGCCAACCTGAGGCACCCGTCCGAACGCACCGTTCCGCCGGCAGGTGCTGGTCTTGGGCTCTGGTGGTCTCACGATTGGTCAGGCCGGCGAGTTCGACTACTCAGGCAGCCAGGCCATCAAGGCTTTGAGGGAGGCCAGATGTGAGGGTTGGGGCGGTCAGGGGTGCAGGCCATACATGTATCGAAAAGTGCTCATGTCCCCAGAATGGTTTTCAAGATGAGCATGATGTTGAATACAAGTGGCGGACGACATCTGTGGTGCTCAATGTGGGAAGGCGCGTCATCTCGTCTTAGGGTTTGCGCCCAGTTCTCTGCAGGCTGGTGTGATGTCGGTCTTGATCAACCCCAACATCGCCACCGTCCAGACTTCTGCCGGGATGGCGGATCGCGTCTACTTCCTCCCCGTGACACCGGACGGGTCTCGAAAGCCCAGGGTCCCACCATGTGTCCCGAAAGCCGCTGTGTAAAGGATGCCACGGCCACCGTTTTTTTATTTTTTTTTGTGACAACTTAGTCTAAATGTCTAAACGCATTCGGTACCTCGAGTTGGGGAAGCCACCATCTTTTCCTTGGAGGAGTTCGTGGTGAAAGTCATCGAGCGAGAAAAGCCCGATGGGATCTTCGCAGCCTTCGGGGGCCAGACAGCACTGAACTGCGCCGTGAAGATGTCCCCTGGGACAGATGAACTTGCGACAATGGACACATGCCGCTTACTTTTCCAGGGGGTCGGGGGGACCATATGAGATATCCTTCAGCAACACTTGAAGTGAAACCATGCGCTTTTTTGATTCGTATGAGTCATGTGAATGGATCATTGAGACCTTGAAAAATGCTGAGAGAGAAAAGAATGTGTGTGGTCCATTCGCACGGAAACCGGCCAGCCACCGAAACGTGGCAGTCCAGGTACGAAGATGGAGTCTTCGAGAAGTACAACG